CATCCTGAACAGGCTCAAGAATTTAGCCAACAACTCAAGTAAATCTCTTTCTACAAAATCATAACAAGAAAATTATTATTTCATGCACTGTCATCTCTAAAATTAGCAATCTTACACAAAAGCACATGTAACCTCTAAATTCTTAATATAGTCTAGGACCTGTATATGAGTTTGTATGCATTTCATTTAGGACAGATAATCTCAACTGTTTTAGGGTAAGTTGACCATGACGGTCAACATGGTAACGCTGCCCGAACCCCAATCCGGGGCGAAACGTCCGAAACTGACCACACCCAAAAACGACACTTTCGCCATACTGCTATCTACCAAACCATAAAAGCTTTGGCTATTCTGAGGTGCTTATATGGTTCAGAGATGGTACTTTTGGGGGTGGTCATTGGTAAGTGTGAAATGCCTAGCACTAATATTTCACAAGAAAATGGCCATGCAATAATCATAGTTAAACGTCAATTTGTGGCTTGCAAATTCAGATAAACAGCAGTGGACTTACATTACCTTTTTCCCTAAATCTTTTTGATAGAAACATAATTGGTACTTATTTAAATATATTATCACTGGTTTGGTGTAAATAGTTACTATTTTCTGACCGAAATAATAATTTGAAATGTGCCTACCTCCTGCAAATGGACGTATTTGGCCAAGTTCTCCACTTTACTCCGCTGTTTATCGGCGATCTCGTCGACATCCTACAAAAAATGTAAATCATCTCAGACATAATGGTATCAAGAACATTTTAAACAAGTTTCAACTTGGTTTCAAGTAGATCATACCTGTTTAACCATCGACAAGGTAAATCCACAACTTTGTCCAAATTCGGCGCCATTTTGTCATCCCATGTCGCTTGTTAACAATTCAGCCTTGTTACTCTTCCATCCAAGCCATTTCCATTCCACTAATAATAAATTTAACCCTTTATAACAGGAGGACCTAAAAAATCTAAACAAAATACAAGAAATACGCCATTTTATCACCCTGTAAAATGTTGTTTACGAGTCCTTCAAAACATTCCGTACAAATCTCGCGTGGTTTAGCAACAGGGACGTGACAGGGGGGGTAGAGACTTGAAAAATGAAAGGAAAGCCCACACAGTATGGTAAAACCAACAATCAACATTTAATTTGTATGACTTTTTCATATTAATAAATAATAATATGTATATATTTGTTGCTACAAGAAATAAAACAAACATTTGTATGATTGTATTTAGCTTTTAGTCTATTTCACGCAGCCTTCTTCTATCTTCGTGAAATAATTCACCCCCTCCTGTCACGTCCCTGTTACTTTGTCACGCGATATTTGTGCGGAATGTTTTGAAAGACTCGTGAGCAAAATTTTACATGGTGATAAAATGGCGTATTTCTTATATTTTGTTTAGATTTTTTAGTTTCCTATCGTTATAAAGGGTTAAATTTATTATTAGTGGAATGGAAATGGCTTGGATGGAAGAGTAACAAGGCTGAATTGTTAACAAGCGACATGGGATGACAAAATGGCGCCGAATTTGGACAAAGTTGTGGATTTACCTTGTCGATGGTTAAACAGGTATGATCTACTTGAAACCAAGTTGAAACTTGTTTAAAATATCTTGATACCACTAT